GGCCCCCCACCCTGGGTCTTAAAACAAGAGGGGAGGCGTGGGGAGGCCTCGGCCGAGCCCGCCGGCTAGTTTGAGAGCCAGACTAGCTGCTGGCGAACGCGGACGCTCTGGGTAAGGCTCTGGCTGCCGCGGCCCCGGGCCCGTCCACCCGCCTGGACACCCACGCGGGGCATGACCTGCTCTGTCCCCAAAACGCAGGCTGAAGTCCACGCCCCGCCCCAAGTTCTCCGTGTGCGTGCTGGGGGACCAGCAGCACTGCGACGAGGCCAAGGCCGTGGACATCCCGCACATGGACATCGAGGCGCTGAAGAAGCTCAACAAGAACAAGAAGCTGGTCAAGAAGCTGGGTGGGTGGGGCGGGGTGAGGGGGCCGTTCTGGGGGCGAGGAAAGCGGTGCTCAGACCATTGGGCTTTAAAGTGAGGAGAGGGTAGAATTGTGGCCAAAAGGCTGTGCTGCGGTTGGCTAGGTTGATTTGGGAAAGTTCTTTTCCTATTTGCTTCGAGGGTTGAACTTTGGGCGGGAAAGAGGAGGCGGCGGCCTCTAGGTGGTTCAAACCCACGGTCTCCGTTCAGTTGTCTAGTCAGGTGCTGGTGTTCTGAGTTGGAATTTCTAGTTCAAGGTCCAATTTAATTTCCTCTGAGGCTCTGGCCTACAGTTGTCATGTAGCGAGAGGTGGGAAGGCAGGATTAGCCAGTGTTTTGCGTTGCCACATGGGTTGTGGGTCGGCCTGGCCTCTGATAGCAGATCTTAGGGGAATGTTGGGCCAGTACAAGTTCAGAGGGTGGAGACCCCCGAACTGGAGTGAGGAAGGGGTTGCAGAGTTGGTCCTGTGCTGGGTTGGGGTACAGAGTTCGTTTGGAGGCTGGCCTCCCAATGGCTTATTCTCCTCACCAGCCAAGAAGTACGATGCCTTTCTGGCTTCAGAGTCTCTGATCAAGCAGATCCCACGAATCCTGGGCCCCGGCCTGAATAAGGCCGGCAAGTTCCCTTCCTTGTTGACCCACAATGAGAACATGGTGGCCAAAGTGGATGAGGTGAAGTCCACCATCAAGTTCCAGATGAAGAAGGTAAGTTAGGCCACGGTCATGGGAGCCCGGCTCGCCTTTCTGTGATCCTTCAGACATGTGATTGTCGCTGAGTAGGGTTGAAGCTGGTCAGCCTGGGCCCAAGCACTGCTTGCTGGGGGTGGACGGGCTATGCCGTCTGCCACCAGCCTGACTGACCGTCCTCTCCCCACAGGTGCTGTGTCTGGCGGTGGCTGTGGGCCACGTGAAGATGTCAGATGATGAGCTTGTGTACAACATCCACTTAGCTGTCAATTTCCTGGTGCCATTGCTCAAAAAGAACTGGCAGAACGTTCGGGCCTTGTACATCAAGAGCACCATGGGCAAGCCCCAGCGCCTGTACTGAGGCCCCACTAATAAACCATACTGCCCTGCGACCTCTTGTCTGCCTGTGACTGGGGAAGGGGCTAGGGCAGGGCCAGGGCTCCAGCCTGTTGCTCCCTGGTGTCAGAAGTTCATTTGGGGTCCTGGTCCATAGGGTCACAGCTGTTACAAATGAAGTTTGGGTTCCTAGGTGTTGCTGATGGGAATAATCCACAAAACCTGAGAAATTGGTCTAATACATTGGAACCTTGGTTCTTGAACTAATTCATTCATGAGGACTGTTCAAGAAGCAATTTGTTCACATTGTATGCGGGAAACATGTTTTACATTGACTGTAGGTAGTAGAGCGTGGGACACATTACACTTTTTATAGACTAGCGGTAGAACGCGTAAAGTTATCGTAAAAGTTATCGTAATTTTACTGAACATTGCCATTTGCGCAAAAAATTAGCAAAAATGGCACGTGCCACCTGTTAGCGCACAATAAAAGCTACCTGCAAACAATGTGTTAACCAAGCTTCTCCCCATTAGACAAACATTTATCAAACCACCCCCACTAGCCTTAAACAAATAACTTTCAGCACTCATTCTGTGTGGTGCAGCGCTTTTGCTGTTCCACATTTGTCTGCAAAATGGGTAGGATCAGGCTGCAGAAACTTCCAGGCCCTAACCTGCCCCTTTCCCTTACCTATTGGTGCCAGTGACTTGGTATACTGGGAAGTACCTGTGATTAAACCTTTCACTTGAATCTGCTTCATTTAACTTTGGTAAATAAAGGCCAGCTCAAACCACCAGTTTTTTAAATATAGCCAGAACCCATCCACCAGTTTATTTCGGAGAAGTGAGAAGCACCCATGGGCTGCTTCCTGCACATTCCCTTTTGGGGTTTGAGCCAGCAACCCAGGAAGGGTTGAACCATGACCTGGAGCAACACTAGCTGGGTGTCCCAACAGCTTTAATAGAGCTGAAAGGCTCATCCAAAGCATAAATAAAAATGCACCTCAAAACGGTTCATCTGATGTGAAACTGACAAGTGTACAAGGCTCTCAAAGTGGACCTTGAGTATCAGCTTGCCATTTTAGCTTTTAAGTTAAACTTGCAGGTAAAGTAGCTACGCTAATCGGATGAGAATGAGTTTTGGTTCTTAAGGTAGCCCTAGCTTGCTCTTTTCTCTGGTCTATTATAGTATTAGGAGTAATAAAATAGGCTTGTTTAACAATGTTCCCTTACCTAGGGAGGAGAAAAGCTGGCTATAAAATTAGGACCCAATTTTAGAAGTGTTTATGCATAGTAAAAATTATTGGAAGCTTACATAAAATTTGACTATGTTTAACTCATAGTTAAATGGTTTGGGGGAATTTCTGTAATCTTTGTAATCAAGAAAAAAGGCAGCCCAGCTGGTCTGGCTCAGTGGTTTAGCATCGACCCATGCATGCATCAGGAGGTCACTGGTTCAATCTCTGGTCAGGGCACATCCAGTTGTGGGCTCAATCCCCAGTAGGGGGCATGCAAGAGGCAGCCCAGCAGTGTTTTGCATTAATGTTTCTATCCCTCTCCCTTAAAAAATATTTTTTTAAAAATCGGGCGAGAACATTTGTGATTTAGTAACTAGAGGAATGTAATAAAAAAGTAACAAGTGAGTATATTTTACTAGAGGCTCAGTGCACCAAGTTCATGCACTGGTTGGGTCCCTAGCAGCTGCTGGCTGCCGGCCGGTACTACCCCACTTCCCCAGGCCTCCCCAGCTTCCCCAGGCCGGCCCTGCTCCCTGGTTGAACTCCTGGATGAACTCCCAGTTGGGACAATTTGCATACTACACTTTTATTATATAGGATGCCTTTTCCCTGCCATAAAGCTGCTTATAGGGCAATGGGTACAATTAAGAGAAAATAGAGCCATGAGGCAAAGGCATAGAGCAAACAGGTGGGCTCCTTGATGGGCACCCAGTGCAGTCCACCTCTGAGTCCAAGACCAGAAAGACATCTGTATCCACAGTGGTCCTGTCGTGAGCAGCATCCTGAGCCAAGGTTTCAGAGGTTTCTCATGGCCTCGGATGTACACTCAACCTGCTGGATGCGAGACCAGCCATGCCATTAATTGCCTGTAGGGCCTGAGGTCCCCCACTGCCTGAGTATGACTCCTCGGCCCCGCACTTGGGAGCCAGGGGAGCCTGTTGGGCAAGTCTGTTAATGTCTCAAACTCTTGCTTTCTATTTGGAAGTGCAGGTGATGATGGCCCCACATGAAAGAGTAAACTTAAAAGCATTACGGCCCTAGCTGGTTTGGCTCAGTGGATAGTGTCAACCTGCGGACTGAAGGGTCCTGGGTTTGATTCTGGTTGCGGGCACATACCCAGTAGGGAGTGTGCAGGAGGCAGCTGATCGATGTTTCTAACTCTATCCCTCTCCCTTCTCTGTAAAAAATCAATAAAATATATTTAAAAAAAAAAAACACCTGGCAACTAATATATAAAAGTTGGAAGATGGGAAGTGGAGTCTAGTTTTGTTTTGTTTTTAAAGTTTTGGAAACTCCAAGGCAAGGCAAATGGGTGTTTTAGAACTACTTGGGAACCTGAATCTTCCTGCATTGATCTGAACCTGAATTTAAGTCCAACCTACTCCACTTCGTAGGAGTCCTTAAAACCCAACTCTACACTAGCCACTCACCACCTTCAGCTGGGCTCTGGGGAATCTGTTTAGAGACCCAACGGCTGCTCTCAGAGGCCCACAGCATCTGGTGTGTGTTGGGGGAGACAGACAGAATCTATTGTAAATGAGGGTTGAGCTATTTCATCAAATCCCAGCCTCTAGACCAGGGGTGGGCAAACTTTTTGACTCGAAGGCCACAATGGGTTCTTAAACTGGACCGGAGGGCCGGAACAAAAGCATGGATGGAGTGTTTGTGTGAACTAATATAAATTCAAAGTAAACATCATTACATAAAAGGGTACGGTCTTTTTTTTTTTTTAGTTTTATTCATTTCAAACGGGCCAGATCCGGCCCGCGGGCCGTAGTTTGCCCACGGCTGGGCTAGAATGATTAGTGCAAAGCTCAGTGTGCACCTGAGCTATAATTCCGGGCTCAGATACCGGGGGAGCACGTTTTCCAGCAGTTGTGTGCAGGGAAATGAGGAGCCCTCATGAACCCCCAGGGCAGTGCTCTGGCTTTGACTGTGGAATTGACGAAAAGATGGCACCCTCCCTTTTCCCCGGAAACATCAGAACAGAAACAGAGGGGCAGGAAAGACAGGACTACAGGCCCCTTCTTTGGGCTCCAGCTTTGCTGACCCTTCTGTACAGCTTCCCACAGGCCCTGACAGGAGAGCCACTGCCAGAGCCGGGGCTTTGGGCTCCCAAGACTCACCTTCTTTATATAATTTTTATTTGTTGAATTTAGAGAGAGAAGTAGAGAGGAAAAAAACACCCATTTGTTCTTCCACTTATGCATTCATTGGTTGCTTCCTGTATGTGCCCTGCCAGGGATGGAGCCCACAACCCTGACCTATACACTCCAACCGACTGAGCTACCGGGCTAGGGCAATACCCACCTTATCCTGGTTCCTTCCCTATTCTGTAACCTCACAGTGAGTCATCACCACTTCATGGTACATTTGTGGTTGGGGGCAGGCGGTAAAGAGAGAAAGCACCCTAGCTGGTTTGGCTCAGCGGATAGAGCGTCGGCCTGCAGACTAAAGGGTCCCGGGTTTGATTCTGCTCAAGGGCACATGCCTGGGTTATGGGCTCCATCCCCAGTAGGCGGCGTGCAGGAGGCAGCCAATCAATAATTCTCTCTCATCATGGATGTTTCTATCTCTCCCTCTCCCTTCCTCTCTAAAATAAATATATATTTTTTTAAAAAGAGAGAAAACAAGGAGGCTGGTCAATTGCACCCCTTGACTTTTCTGCAGGAGAGACCTACATTATCCTTAAAGCAGTTACCGAAGGCTGAGTGCTCCGGGAGAGTAGTGAAGGCAACAGCCCTCGTGCTAACACTTCAGTCACTCAATAGGAGTCATCACTTTTTTTAAAATCCTCACTTGAGAGAGTATATTTTTTCCATTGATTCTAGAGAGTGGAAGGGAGAGAGGAGAGGAAAAGGAGGGGAGAGAAACATTGATGTGACAGAGGCGTATTGATTGATTGCCTCCCATACATGCCCCGGCCAGGAATCGAACGCCAGACCCTCCAGTGCACAAGCCAATGCTCCAACCACTGAATACCCCTGGCCAGGGCGATGTCATTACTTATTAGTGCAGAGATTGGATTTTTCATCCAGCCCCAGGGTCCTTCATAAGCCAATTTCTGCCTCCAGAACCCCCTCCCACCTGGTGGGAGCTCCAGATGCTACTAGTGACAGTCTGAAGTCCCTCCAGTGCGGTGACCAAGACAAGGGCCACCTGATCATTGAAGTGGTGCACCAGGGGCAGGGGCTTGGGGCAGGCAGAGCAGTTCACATCCTGGGGTTGCCCCTGACTGGCTGAGTGAGGAGAAGTGCCTCAGTCTGCTTCCCATCTGCAAAGTTGGAGCTGGACCAGAATGATCCAGAAGACTCTAGATTCTGGAGTAGGGTTGGCAGATTTAGCAAATGAAAATACAGGATGCCGCCCTAACCGGTTTTGCTCAGTGGACAGAGCATCCGCCCTCCGACTGAAGGGTCCCAGGTTCGATTCCGGTCAGGGGTAATGTACCTTGGTTGCACACACAATCCCCAGTAGGGGGCGTGCAGGAGGCGGCTGATCGATGTTTCTCTCATCGATGCTTCTAACTCTCCCTTCCTCTCTGTAAAATGAATAAAATAATTAAAAAAGAAAATGCAGGGTGTCCTGGTGACAGAATCTGTGGTCTTTGCTGATTTTGCCTTCGTGGCTTATCATCTTTAGCCAGTGAATAATTCTTTCATTTTGAGCTCATCTTATCCCTGATGACCCAATTATTGCTCTGGGTAATGACCCAGTCAGATCTTATTTAGAAAGAATTCTGTAGCTCTAAAACTCAGTAATAATAATAATCCTATATAATAAAGAGCTAATATGCTAATTAGACTGGACAGCAGAACGACCATCCAGACGACCTCCCGACCTTCCGGATGAAACTGGGGCTGCAAGGGCCTACCCTTGCACGAATTTCATGCATTGGGCCTCTAGTAATAATAAAAACTGGTCCCCGAAAGCAGAAAAGTGCCATAGGCAGTCTTTAGCTTGAATTTATTTTGTCTAGGATCATAAGACAAAATAAATGGCTTTTCTGTGTGTGTGTGTGTGTGAGAGAGAGAAAGAGAGAGAGAGAGAGAGCGAGCACGCACAACAGGAAAGGTCAGGCAGGCTGGGCTCAGTTCAGTGTGCAACCCACGGCAGGAGGGGTGTGGATATGGAGAAAGGTTGAAGCTGGAAAGCATTCATGGGACCCCAGAATCACACCTCTTTAGACTGAGGGTAGGGCTTGGGGGCCCCCGGAAAAGATGGGGGGAGGTGACACACCAGGACATAACCAGGGAGAGCCCCCCTGAAGCTGTTCCAACCCAGAAGCCTGGCACACAACTGGTCACACGACTAACCCACAAACAAATAACTTTAATTTCTCTTTCCGAGTAGGCCTTGAGGGCGCCTGCCCCAGCCCTGTGCCACGTTTATGATATAACCCATCACAGCTGGATTTAAAAAATACACAAAAATATATATAATATACATTATAAAACCTAGGTTGGGTTTGGAGGTGGCCTGAGCGATATGCAAACTGTGAGGACCTTCAGGAAGCTCAGGGGTGGGGGGCAGGGCAGGGGAGGGAAGGGCACAGTACTTCATATGAAACTCATCGATGCCCGGAGGCCGGGCGCTGAGGGGCCGGATGGTGGGAAGAGGCAGTGGGCAGGGTGCACCTTCAGTCCCAGAACGGGGTCTGGGGAGCTGCTCCAGGCAGGGAGACTGGCACCGGGAAGAGCAAGGTAGTGGCACCGTGGAGGGTTCACGTGGGCAAGAGAAAATACCGAAGCCTGTGCTGCCTCTCGTGCCCGGGCCACAGATCTGCCCAGGGGCTGGCATCTTCCTCCCTGACCCTCCAGCCTGCTTCTGGGGCTGGGCCTGCTGGGGAGCCTGGCAAAGGATCTGGGCCAGGGCAGCGTTGGGGGAGTGGCGCAGCAGGCTCCCTCCCAGGGCCCTGGCTGGATGCTGGGCTGACAGAGGGCGCCAAACAGGTGCTGAGTACCTGCTGCTCCCCTTCCCTGCTGGTCAGAGGCAGCTGTGTAGAGCCCCTCCCCAGCCTGGGGCCGTCTGAGGCAGGGAGATGTGTAAACTGGGCTCCGGACAGGCAGCCCTGGTGAGAACTCCAATTCCGCCCCCTCCCCCCCAGACTCCTCATCTGTGACACCGAGACCCATGATTGCTCTGCAGGTCAGAGGATGGCAGGAGGCACTGGGCCTGGCACATGGCAGGTGCAAAGACAGTGTGGGCTTCTCTCTTCCCAGCGCAACCCCAGCTCCACGCTCCTTCCTGGCCTCTGCACTCCGCCTGCCCTCCAGCCTCCCTCCCCCCCTTGTCCCAGCCCTGAGGGCCAGTGGCCACACACACCTGAGCCAAAGGTGTCCTCCCCTTCACTGAGGCTGGGCAGACCGAAGCGATGGTGGCTTGGCGACCCAGCCAGCCTGCCCCGCCGCCGAGCCCCCTCCCTTCTCCCACAGTTAAAGCGCAGAACAGTGGCGGGTGTGTGCTGGAGCAGGTGGGGAGGCCTCCTGGCCCTGGGCCGCGGCCTGGTGGGCAGATGAGTCCTCAATCCTGGACCCCCGGGTGCCAGGCAGGTGTGTGAGAAGAGGCTCGCCCTGGATCCTGGTGGTGGGGCAGAGGGCACCCTAGTCTTTGACGAGCTTGTAGACGTGGTGCTGGGCCCCGTGCTCGCTGGTGGAGACTTCGAAGACAAAAGCGATGACGAGCAGGGTCTCCTGGGAGTCGCGGCTGGTGACCACCTGGGGCCGAGCAGGAGGATTCGGGTCAGGAGGCGCAGGGCCTGGGGGTGTGGGCTGAGCCGCCCCTGCTCCCCTAGGGGCTCCGTCTCTTTCTCGGAGCAATGGGTCCGGCCCCCGGGGACCGCTCACCTGCAGGATGGTGAAGTTCTCCAGGACGCTGTTCATCATGTACTTCTCCGGCAGGTGCTTCAGCTTGTGGATGAAGTTGATCATGTACTCACACATGGGCGAGCGGTGGATGCGGTACACGAAGCGCCCGTTCTCCAGCTGCGCGTACTCCGTCTGCGGAGAGAGGGCCTCGCTGGGGCCTGCTCCTGGCCGTGCCCCCCCCCTCCCCACCCTCCCTCACTCCGGGACCCACTCACCTCCACCTTCTCCACCACCTGCTTGCCGAAGGAGCACACCTTGGTGGAGACGCTGATGGTCATGCTGTCGGCTGAGCTGTACTGGGAGCTGACCCCGTAGAAGGCGCCTGGGCCCTCCTGGATGGTAGGCACTGCCCACTGCCCACCACCCAGGCACTGACCACAGCCCCAGGGAGAGAGGTGGCCAGTAGGGTGGGCCCGGAACTGCAGGTCTGGGGGAGGGACTGGGGGCTGGGGGCGGCTCACCCAGAACTTGACCAGGAAGAAGGCATTCGGGGGGCCCTTCTCGTACAGCTCCTTCAGTCCGCCCTTCTTCTCGGGGAACTTGTCGTAGATCTGACGCACGTCCACGGCCTCCAGGGGCGGGTCGGAGAAGGCGG